TTGAAAAGGAAATCCTTAAGGAAGATTTGTTTAAAGCAAGAGATTTAAATCCTTAGCCAATGAGGAAAACAAGAAGTTTGTGAGAAAGTCTACTACTTCTACATTGCTAGATGGTTACTATTGGGTGCCATGCCCTCTGTCCTTTAAAATAGAGGGTAGAATACTTACAAAACCTAGAACAGGCCGCCATTTTACTAGAAGGTCGTTGGTCCCCTCACCAATATTTTTAAAGCTGGCCTCACTTGTGGTGAAAACCAAGGAAGATTCTAAAATTAGAGAGATGACTAAATTTAGGAAAAGAGGCCCAAGTCCCCAAAAAGGAAATATGTCCATACAAAATTAATAGAGTTGATGCCCCTCCACTTTCAGCTAAGTGGTCTCAGTCTTCAGCTAATTTGTCACAGATCCCAGTCAGTGTTTCCCGGACCACAATTGATTCAGCTGATGCCTCAATTAATGTTCCATTTGCCAGTTCAATTGATGTTTCAGTCACTAACCCAGTAGATACCTCAATTGATGTTTCAATGCATGTCCTAGACAATTTTTCTTAAATTCCACCCGTTATCCATGAGCTCCTTACATAGGGATTTGAGGACTCTCTCTTACTTGATGTATGGGTTATCACTCTCCAGGATCCTTCATCACCTCCTGAGTAGATGTCTCTCACCCCTGTGATGGATGCCACCCTCTCGACTACCGACCGGAAGATAGTCAAAGGGGAAGGGATAATTTAAGATGAAGACTAACAAATGATTGAGTATATAATAGTAGAGCCTCCGACGGCTGATGATCTTAAGTTACAATTTATTATTTTGAATGATAATTATTTTTTCATGTTCTTTTTAATCACACTAACATTCAACCATTTATAATTGCAGCAAAATAAGTATGACAAGTAATAACAATAAATATTTTGAATAATTAAAATCAGTTATGTAAAATATTTGCTTGCAAATGTACAGTGTCATGGACAGTAACTTATTTTCTCTTATTAAAAAGTATGAGTATCAGATAGATGTGAAGACTACCGAGAATGAAAATTTCAATGAGTTAAAAAGAAGTGAAAGAATAGATGAAAAAATTGTTGCATTTATGACTAAAAAATTTGAGGAAATTAAAATCTTATTGAAAAACAATGAGGAGAATAAAATATGACGGAAGAAAAACTATACTACTTATTTATTCTCAATAATTACTACTGTTGTTGTCACTTCATTAACAATTATCCAACATCATTATAAAAGAGCAACTTTAGTAGTTTTTTATTGTTCTTTTGAGTTATTAACTTTACCGTGTGTCATTGGGGTTCGGACGTATGTAGGTCTTGATTTTTGAACTAATTGTTTACTTGTAGACTTTTGCTTTTTATTTTGATGTCTGACATGGAGAAATTTTTTTCTATCATTTTGTTAATTATTTTGTCTGCTCATCACAAATATGATGGCCATTATGATGGCAAGGTAAAATTAGTACATACATATCTCAGTTCCTTTATAATTAGATGCTCTAACGAGACTTTTATATTACCTTTGTTTTATTATAAACTGGTTCCATTACTTAGTCATCAATAGTATTATTATTATTATTATTATTTAATTTTATCATATATAGAGACAAATCCTAGCAGCCATTTATGCTTATTGCACATTATTTC